TTATTAGAGAGTTATATTGGTTGTACGAGAGTTTTTCAGTCATGTCAAAATCCGGAGGCATGTGTTTTTTATTTGTCTTATTTTTATTGCCCTAAAAACATGGATGCATGAATAAAAAAAAAAGAACGATCCTCCTCCAGATGATGACCCAGGCCCAGGGCCAGCACCGGGACCTGATCCAGAGTATCGAGGGTCTGCCGGCCGCCCCCGGTCTCTCCCCTCTGGACCAGGATCTGCTGATGCTCAAGGCCACGTCGATGGCGACCATGAACTGCCTGAACGAGTGCCTGCACATCCTGCACCTGCAGCAGGTGGCCAGGCAGAGAGGCTCCCTGGGAGGTGAGTGTGCGGCCGGTTCTCTCTGCAGCGGATGTGGTGGTTGTTGCTTTATCTTGACTCTTTTGTTCATTTGCTGGTTATTCTTCCAGGCGTGAGCGTTTCTGCTGTTGGACGCTGCAGATTATGCATCTGTGCCACATGCAGTCCTCACGACAAACAATCTAGAGTTTGGCTGCTCACTGGAATTATTTTGCATTATTGATAAGGAGCTGTACCTATTCTTACCACCTGTCTCGAAGGTAATTAGATCTCAGATGGTTGAAATATCCATCAGCAACACTTTGCAGGCTGCAGCTCAACACGCTGTTCTTTTCACGATCTGACTCGTCACGTTAGAAAAAGTCCCGATGATATTTCACATCAGTTATTTTCTGCTCTGTGGAAAAAAGTCGACACAGCTTCACGTTGACAACTGTTGCGTTTTGGAAGTGAGCTGAAGTTCTCCACCCTCTCTATTCAGGTCGATTTGAAATGTGGAAAACGTCCGAGTAATGTCCCACTTTTTCACAGCAGATCTCGTTACTCGATGTATATTTCATTTGGCCGGACTTGTCGCACGCAGCCAATCGGGTGAAGTTGTCCGACAACGCACGAGGTGAATTTGAATGAGGTCTGCCCACCTCTAACCGCACATTAAAAAAATGTCCAGGCCACACTGAGAGGCTTTAAACCAATCAGAGGACGAGGATGTTTCCTGTCGGCGGGGCCAAGGTATCCTGATACTCGGCTCGTCGGACGGGTCGGGTTACACTCGTTTGGTCTCGGGCAGCCGACGAGGAGTAACCATCTGTCCAGTCGGCAGCCGGGCAGTTGTGGGGTGTTGTGTGGCGAATGGTAGGCCCGGCGTAGGGTGGAGGGGGGGTAGTACCATGAGTACCTCTGAACCTGCCACTGAGAACTCCCTGTCCACGACAGGACCCACCATCGAGTGGCTGGAGCCCAAGCTGCCCGACATCCTGAAGAACGGCAGCAGCTCCCTGGGCAGCTTCACCACAGGGGAGGGTCAGCTGGAGGGGAGCCACCTGGAGCTCAGCAGCCCAGACTCCTGCAGCTTCTCTGGGGTAAGAGCGAGGAAATCACACCCTCTCTGCTCCAGGAGGATCCACAGTTTTCAGGACTTTTATTTGACATAATTTCCATTTTTGCAGTTGCTTCTAACAATCTTCTGCTTTCAACCCGGTTGTGTTGACTATGTCCCCTCCCACTCTCAGGAACAGGAAGACATAGACGCGGAGGATGAGCTGGAGGACGCCTTCACAGACAAGGAGGAGGACCTGGGCGCCGTGGAGGAGGAGCGCAGCGTCATCCTACACCTGCTGTCCCAGCTGAAGCTCGGCATGGACCTCACACGGGTAGGTCGAGTTCCATGTTCTGCCGAGCAGCAAAAACAAGAACTCATCTGTTAATGATACACGTTTGTGTACAAATCGCTTTTTAGGGGATTCTCCGACTTTTAAAGCTCATTTATTTATTAAACGTTTCCGTCGATGATTTAAAAAACGCAGGGACACTTGGTTCTTCCCTTCGTCATTTCTTTTGTCGTAGTTTTCTCATACATTACATACGTCTTACATTTTTGTCGGCTGATTAGAAAAAGAAAGGTGAAACTAGTTTTGTCATATTTTTACGATCAGTCTAAATTAGCGTTGTTAGAATTTCAATAAAAAGTGACAGCCCGAGCTCGTTCATCAGACCTCAAATTTAATATTAAAAGAAAACAACTTGTCTGATTAGATTAAAGTAAATCTGCTGTGTCCGTGATGAGGAATCACTGTCATGGTTTTTAATTGAGTTTCAGTGACCTGACGGACTCAAGTTGTTGCTGTGTAAACACACACACACACACTCTCTCTAACAAACAGCTGAGTCGTGGATAGAAACTCTATCTTCTGGTGTCAGATTGTTCTCGTATTTGGATATCCTCCTCTTGGGTTTCTGATTTATCACAGTTATCCGGTGGATTCTTTGAGTCCCCTCTAGCTCCAGTAGACGCTGTGACGCCAAGGTCACGTCAGCGGTGCTTCACATCATCACTTCCTCCATTTGAACCACGGTAGATGATTCTCCATATGTATTTGTCTTCCTCCCAGGTGGTCCTCCCCACCTTCATCCTGGAGAAGCGCTCCCTGCTGGAGATGTACGCCGACTTCATGTCTCACCCCGACCTCTTTATGGCCATCACCGACGGCAGCAGCCCGGAGGACCGCATGGTCCGGTTTGTGGAGTACTACCTCACCTCCTTCCACGAAGGCCGCAAGGGCGCCATCGCCAAGAAGCCCTACAACCCCATCATCGGCGAGACCTTCCACTGCTCCTGGAAGGTTCCCAAGAAACCAGAGGCCGCCAAGGAGCCTTCACAGGGAGGCGCCGAGCCGCCCGCCCCCCAAGACCCTTACCAAGTGCGCTTTGTGGCGGAGCAGGTGTCCCATCATCCCCCTGTGTCCGGCTTTTACGCTGAATGTCAGGAGAGGCGGATGTGTGTGAACACGCACGTGTGGACCAAGAGCAAGTTCATGGGAATGTCCATCGGAGTGTCCATGATAGGTGAAGGTGAGTCAGCAAAGTTTCTTCCTGTCATGCAGCAAGGGAAGGATGTGACAAAAGGTTTAGAAATGGTTATCTACAGTCACTCGCCGTGTTTGTACGATGAGCTGCTCAGTCCAGCCTGCGTCCTGTCTGCAGGTTGTCTGCATTTGCTGGAGCACGACGAGGAGTACACCTTCACGCTGCCCTGTGCTTACGCTCGCTCCATCCTCACCGTTCCCTGGGTGGAACTTGGCGGCAAAGTCAACATCAACTGCGTCAAGTCGGGTTATTCAGCCGTCATCACTTTCCAGACCAAACCCTTTTATGGCGGTAAACTGCACAAGTGAGTCGCTCCGTCATCGCTCCGTCTGCGAGTGTTGTGTTGCTGTCGTGCTGCTAAATGGGAAATCGTGCATCCTAGTGTTGACTGATTCAAACATGTTCTGTTCGTAGAGTCACAGGGGAGGTGAAGCACAACACCACCAACGCGGTGGTGTGTCGCGTGCAGGGCGAGTGGAACGGCATGTTGGAGTTCAGCTACACCAGCGGAGAGACGAGGGTGGTGGACGTCACCAAGCTGCCGGTAACGAGGAAGCTGGTTCGGCCGGTTGAGAAGCAGGGACCGACCGAATCCAGGTGAGAGGACGTGGACTCGAACGCCGTCGTCTCATGCAGTTGTTTGTGTCTCGACGCTTTCATAACATGTTTGAGCACAAATTTTTGTGTTTCCGTGATGCAGGCGTCTGTGGCAGCACGTGACTGAGGCCCTGCGGCAGAAGGACATCGACAAAGCCACGGAGCACAAGAGGATTCTGGAGGAGCGGCAGCGGACGGAGGAGAGGCACCGCGCTGAGACTGAAACTGCCTGGAGGACCAGATACTTTGACAGAGAGGTGAGCGAGACGGAAAATACAAAAACCTTTATCTATTCTATCAATGAACACGTAAAACACATTGATCCAGAAGTTTGTACATATCTTAATTTGAATTAGTCGTGAAAGAGATTTCGATGTAAAAACACGATGAAGAGTCAACACAGGAGTTTTACTTTCATGAGGCGTTTGAGGACAAACAGAAGAGTCTGTGAAAGTCACCTCTGCTGCCTCTAAACACATTTAAAATCACCTTCAGCATTAATTCTCTCCCCAGTCGACGGTTTTCTATTTCAGGGTTTTCTCACTTCTTCAAGAATCTGGGTCATTGAACTCCAGCGTCTCGTTTCTTTTCCCCACGTGACGATAAATCACTTCCTGACGACACTTCTCTCTCCTCCCGCAGGGCGAAGGCTGGATTTATCACAAACCACTTTGGAAAAACTCTGCGTTCAAATCCTAGTTTCTTCAGGATGAGTCTCGGATGCTGATGTTGTAGATTCAGGAATGTGAGTGTGTGTGTGTGTGTTGGACGGTGATGAAAGGAGAGCATGACCTGCACTGGCGTACAGACGAATGCAACACGGGGAGGCGGACGGAGAGACGGCGTCACTGGAGGTGTTCTCCGCTCTCTCGCCATGTTCAAGATGAAACCTCAACGTTTTGATCAGTTTTCTTGTTTGTTTTTTTTAACGCTCCAATGTCGGTGAAAACATTGTCACGCTGGTCGGGGGACTCTTCTTACTTACGCAGCCTTAAGATCGTCTGATGAATGATACTCGTTCGTTTCTGCTGATCGACCTGGATCCGGTTCTTTTCTTTTCCTCGGCGGTGAAGTGACTTTCTGGGAGTTTCTTCCTGAAAATACGATGCGAGATCAGAGATCAATCAAACTGACGGAAACTGAGAGAAAATAAAAACCACTAACGTTCATGCACCTGCCAACGATATCCTGATCTCAAAGCACCGCTCATCCCCTCGCCGCTCCCCGTCTCCAGCCTTTATGCTAAGCTAAGCTAAGCGGCTACTTAAATCAGCAACAATCATAAGCAGTTTATAAACAAATGGTTTGTAACACGACATAATGTCGTCGTTCGCAGGTTCAGTTCTTTTTTAGAAGATGAGTTTTGTTTAGAGGCCGGTGTGTTAACGTATAATGAGCGTTTTAACAATGTAAAATATTCCTTCATCGTTATTAACTGCTGTTCAATGCCACTCGTTGATAAACACAAAATATCCTTAACATCAGCACGATAGCTGTTATAAACCACAAACTGTTAATGTACTGCTTATACAGGGGGGTTACACTGCCCCCTCACGATTTCCGGTGGTACTGCTCCGTTGCTGTTTTGATGCTGTGTGGAATGGAGTCGCGCTGCGGCAGCGTCACGTGTGAATCTTGTCGTAGACGAGCCGACAAATAACAAATCAGAAAGAGATGAAGTCTCGTGTGAAGCTGAAGATTATTCTCGTCTTTCTCCCTCGTTTTAGTTTTGATCTCTGTTCAAACTGAAGTTAATGTTTGTTGTAAAAGCTTTTAACCAAATTTACTTGTTTTGTGATGCAAATAAATATTTTCTTTGAATGCGTGTTCATCCCCCATCTTTCGCTTTTATTGCTCTTATTTTTAGAGCCACTTTTTTTTTAATCCAGATGTTCTAACTCTCTTTTTCCAAATCTAAATTTTCACACTTTGAAAATCCCCCCCGTTTAAAGTTTAAAGAAAAGTTCCTGATTCTCCGCAGAAGGAGGAAGTCCGCTCTGCCACTGAGACGCTGCTCCCTAAGTTTCTGTGCCTTATGCAAAAACTCTTTCTGTGTGTGTCTTCCAGCAAAGGAGCACAGTGTCCTCATCACCTCTTTACCTGACAGATGCAAATGGCCGATGTATAATTTGTGTGTGTGCGTGTGTTGGTTTTATTTCTTTTTAAGATTCAGTGCTCGGTGTTAGAAGGCGACTCAGCACTTTGACATTTCTTGGTTTTGAAATCTACTGGTTGTCTCGTTGGCCTAAGAGATGCACTGACACTGAAGGAAACCCGATGTTGTAGAAAAATGGACATGTGTGATTAAAGGTAAATAAATTGCGTATCAGTTGTACACAACGCGTCAAGTTGTATTATTTATTTTACTGTGTTTCTTCACATTGTCTTCATGTATGAGTCCATGAAGAGATGCAAACACTCAGCGGTTTGTTGAATATCAGGTTCAGGTGCTCGAGTTTGAATCTTCTGAGATTCTGTCAAATTTAAAATATTCAAACATTCAAAAAGGCAGCAAGGTATGATTTAAAAATCATCAAAACATCATAATATAGTCTAAAACATTACGTATAATATGGCGTCTAATACTCTGCACATGCCACAGGTTTGATTCCTAC